AGCTGAGGAGAGCTGCAGGTGCTCCTGCTAGATCCACTCGTTTGCTAGATCTTCCACGTCCACAGTCCACTGTTTGCAACGCTCTTCAGAACAGCTGTGAGCCTGTTACTCTTTTGCTCTCCTGGTGGCCAGGATGTTGCGCCTCCCCAAATCCCGTGCTCATGATGCCCCTGTCCTTGCGGTCCATCGAGCTTATAGGTTCCAGCAACGCGTGCACCTGTGCCCGTGGAAGTGCCTCCTCACCTCATCACGCACGCGTGGAACATGGGCGAGGGTGTGTGTGTGTGTTTGCGCACATGGCCCAGGCTACAAAGCAATGTGCCTCAGGAGACAGTCTGTGGGATTTGGCAGATTTATCTTTCGATAGCTTCGCCTACAGAGGGACTTCCTTGCCACTGTAAGGTCCTTAGCTAGTTGCAACTTGCCTACAGGGCAAATTGCTTGGACCACAGTCCAATGTCCACAGCAACTTGGCTGCAACCTGTTTTCCAATCCAAAGTCCAGAGGTCAGAGTACTTGCAATGGCTTTTTGCTGTATGTATTGCTAGCCACTTTTCCAATCCTTTGCCAGGCCAAGGTTGGCAAGAAATCGCCGTTGATCTTCCATGGGCTTTCAAGCACAAACCCATTCCTGAAGATGCCCAGTGGATACAGGCATTGCACGCGTTCCGTGGGAGCTTCACTCACGGAGCGACCAGGTCAGCTAGTGGCTTGTAGCAATTTAGTCACAGAGTTGCTCTGCGTTCAGTCCAGCGCAAGCAATGTCAAAAAGCTGAGCATTGGACAAAGTCCATGGTACACAGCACACTGCCACATCAAGAGCTTCCAAGGTCCTAGTGGTCTCATCACTTCTTGGACGGTGGATCGTGGACTGCTGCACTGTGGAATGTTTAAAAGATTGCTCCAGGCCCATCATTCCAACTTGCTGCCTCATATGCAGCCTGCTCATTGCAATGGTTGCAAGCCGCTGCAGACCGTGCTGCGTGTGGGCTCATGGTGTTGGAGGGGTGGAAAGCGCTTCCCTGATGTGATTGCAGGGCTTCCGTCTGCCAGTAACCATGAGGGCAGAAAGGTGCACTTCTTTTTGCCAGTCTGAAGGGTAGAACCATTCTAGTAGAATTCCATTGTGCTTTGATGCAAAACGCAGGCGAAGTCTGATTTTCCCACTCACTCATTCCAGTAGAATTCCATTGTGTTTTGATGCCAAGCACAGACGAACTCTGATTTCCCACCCACCATTCCTGTGGAATTCCATTGCGCAAGCAAATGGCTCAAGGGAAAACGTATGTTTTTCAAGTGGTGTGGTGCGCTGGAAACCCTGCGCTTGGACTCCTCAAAGATCTTGCAAAGGGGGATCGAGCGCACTTCATGAGCAGGGCAGCTCGGGAAATCTATATGAAGCTCCCACAAGAGGATGAGGCGCATGAAGAGGACACTGAGCCTATGGTTGCCAAATGTGGTCAATTCAGAGAAGTGTGCGCGGCGCACAAGACGCCAGCAAGACATTCCAAGATGACTACCAGTGCTCAAGGAAGAGCCCATTGAATTGAAGAGTTCCAAATCATCGCCAACCGGGAGGATGATCACAACCGAAGCCCACAAGACCACAACCCAGAAAGTGGTGGCTTTTGTCCTCATGTGAGAGTGAGTACTACGGCATGTGTTGGACAGCCACGCAGGCACAGTTTCTTTTGGGATGCGCGGAGGACCAAGCTTTTCACATCGAGGGGTGAGCGGAAGGGTCGTATAAGGTCTTGACGTAGCTGATGGACCTAGGCTTCACTACCTTTTGTGCTTGCCACTTGGCTGGAGAAGAGCGTTGTGACTGGGGGGCAGAAATGATGCACCTTTCACGTACTTGTTCACCCACAGCCATCTGGGTCCAAAAGGTATAACGATCGGCATAGTGTTTTTACAATACACTGTAAAACTTTATCGTGCGCTATTTGCTTGTGTTTTAGTTTAATTACAACACTTCCCAATAAACATCTTCCACTGGCACCATGGATCTGCAAAGCTCACCCGTGCACCGACCCAGGCGCCGCCGGTCACCCGGCGAACCTGAGCCGCCACGGCTCACCGGTGAGCCGTGCCATCCGGTCGCCCAGGTGAGGGGCCTAAGCCCTGGAGACCGAGGTTGGACCAACCAAAAAGACTAGAAAGCAATGACGAAACTAGAAAACATTAACCAACAGCATGTCTTGTAATTACTTTCAGTTTACTTCTGTTTGGAGTTTGTATTGAGGGAAGTTCACTGCCTGAAATCGTCATGGAAGTGGATGGCTTGCCCCGAATTGGAATAACCACGTTCCAACTACCAAACAGGTGGCGCCATCAATATTCCAGGGAGTGTAAGGTATAATGATAGGCAAGTCTGGCACTCTGGACTGCTACGTCAGGTATACATGGGTTAAGGATGCAAGTTGCGAGACCTTGTTTGAGGAATATCCTGGTGGGTGGAGCTGGGAAGAAGGACATGAAAACTGAAACTATATTCATACCTTATGTTGACATTCTTTATACGCACCTTCGGGTGGAACGGGTCTTAGAACATGGTCCTGAAGGGTTTGACTGTTTGACCAATTGGATCCTGAGACCCTCAGGTGTATAGATAGAAAATGGTTATGCATCCCAATGTTTCCAAAATTGTTTTAATATATAACTGCCGTGAGTTAGCACATTCATTGTCCAATAAATGTCCGCCGTTCAAAGGCGATTATGTATGTATGTACGTACGTACGTACGTATGTATGTGTGGGTCCATACTTTGAACAAACACCCCCCACATGGTGAAAAACGCATGTGGATGGTGAAATCTTCCTTGTGTGTGTGCCATGTGCAGATGAACTCATACACATGATTGGCCAGAAAAATCTGAATGTGTTTGGAATATCCGCAGGAAGACGGAGAGATTTGCGCAGTTGTTTGTTTGGGTCATCAAATTCACCTGAAACATAGATCAAGGCTAGAGTCTGGAGTTCCACAAAAAACATGCGGGTATGTGTTCTGGAGAGCACTGTTTCCAGGTCTTGCTTCCCACGCTTCAGCACTGAAAACAAGGGCTTGGCTTGGCAGACCTTGCGGGGGCAAGTGCATAACCAGCAAATTCTGTGTGAGACGAGGTTTCGAAAGGATCCTTTTTGGGGCATGCGCCTGCCTGCAGTCCGGTGGGGTACAGGTTTTCCGTGGGAATCCAAGAAGATTGGTTCCTGTCAGAAAATGTTGCAAACTGGAGATATAGCACTTATACTTATAGAAATACAGTCCCAGACCATGCATGGAACTGGGTCAAATAATGTAGGATAATGTAGGTATATAACCATTCCAGTGCTAAATGGATGGTTTGAGAGTGGTTTCCGAGTAGATGGGCACGTCCACCTGCGACTACCCACCTGCCACGACGTCCATCACCACGGGTCCGTCACCAGTGCCGGTCCAGGCAGCCAATGATGCCGAAGCTTGGCGAACAGCGGGGCGAACTTGGTCAAGAACGGTAGGTATATACGGTGAGTTCAAATCATCAGGGTTCAAATCATCAGAAATCATTGAGGAAATAGGGGTTGAAGTGGTCAAGAGGGTTAAAACAGGTCGAGTCATGTAGAAATTTGATTTGAACAATAACATTCCAATTTGGATTGTAAAATCTTGTCACACGAGGTGTTGTTGATCAAGATGTTACATTGCTCTACGACCCTGTTTGATATTCACGACCACACCCGCCTGATAAGGGGAAGGGCTGTGTAGCATGCGAACGCTTGCGGACTTATTTTGCAAGATCGATCATTCTACAACCCTGGTTGGTCTCTGCTCTACCATCATTGTTCTGCGGGAATTCCCAGGAATCAAATTTCCAGGATAACAATCAATCACTGCCCCGGAAACTTAAACCCCTAGCTCGTTTTGGTAATGTTTTGCAGCAATCAGGACCTCCGAGATAAAGGCCTCCAAGGTTGTGGCAATTCAGCTATTCGTTACAGCGGTGTTTGCTTGCAGCCTCCTTTCGTTCAGTAGCAGGCAGCAAAGCAAAGGGATCAAAAGAGTCCAGTATAGTATACTGCAAAGGTGCTGCAAGGCAAAGGTGCTAGAACCTGTTTGCCCCATTCACAAGTTTGGTTCGTAGACGACCTCCAAACATACATTGAAGCGGCAACACAGCAAACCAGGCAAGGATCGGATCCCATTGACGTTTTTTGAGGGGCCCAGCAGAACCCGAAGCTGGTTTGGGGGCTAAATTCATTTGTGTCTATCAATCACGTGTTTTGCATTGGATATGAGGTTATGTTTCTTGAATGTGTCCTTCCAAAGCTCAAATGAGATAGAAACACCCGCGCCCCATCCATGTCAAAGCAGCTCCTCGCAGCGTTTCCACTACCGGCCCACGCCACGCCACACGAAACGCTCCTCGCTCGCTTTCGTCGCACGCCTTTGCGCAGCTCCGCGCGCCGGCCAAGGCTGCACGGAATTCGTTCTAACGCGCCGCCGCGAGTGGTCCTCCTGCAGAAAAACAAGGGACTCGACCTCTCCCGTCCTTCCGGTCAGTGGGGGCGTGGCGTGGGACGCGAAGAGAGGGGTGGAAGTGTGGGGAACACACCACCCCAGCGACGGGCGATATATAGCCTACTCCAGGCAAGTTCGAAGGACCAGCTTCGCTGATGGAGATGATGTGGTGTGGAGTGTGTTGTATAATTCATCGCTGTTGGCAACATCGCTGTGCTGCCAAACTCTACATGATCAAACACAACGTTAGGTGTTTTTGGGGAAGAAAATGGAAGGCCTGTCGGGGTCCTGAGAACCAAGCTGATGCTGAGAGTCAAGTCCTCTTTTTATGTTTTTTTGTTTGCTTAGCCAACGTCCCAATTGCTAGCTGTCCTCCTGATGCTTAATTCGTGAATTCCTCTCTCTTAGGGCCCAAGCTGCTTGAAAACCCCCTTACAACCACCCGCACTTCCGTGTCACCATCACGAACCGCGGTCCGTACACCACGTTATTCGCGGTCCGAGGCGGCACGGGAGATGGAGCCCAAGGCTTGGTGGATTTGGAAACCCATGAACTCCAGCTGCGGTCACTTGGAGAAAACGATGCCACACCCAGACGCGGTCCCCTGTTTGGGACTGCGGACTGCCAAGAAACGGCCAGGGGTGGTGGTGCCAGGGGGGTCAATGGGGTGGCATATATGCCATACATGGAGTGTATTGGGACATGATTCCACATGACGTCACGCGTTTTTTTCATGTGTAATGTACGGGCCCAGAAACTCAGAGAGAGAGAGTTTGTCAAGTGAAGGGTTTGTTTGTGGGTGTGTTTAGATATTGTTTTCGTCAGCACCGGTGATCCTTCCAATTCTTTCCATCCCGAAACTTGGCCACCGTGGCCAAGGTCGCGGAATCAAGTTGCTGCCCAGCCACCTGAGCAACAAGGCACGAGTCGTTTGAGAAAAACGTGTCGGAGAGGGGGAAAAGGGTCCGTGGAGTGGAAACCACCGAATTGTCAAGGCAAGTGATCTGTGAATTGTCGTTTGATTGGCTTTGAGTTCCCATTTGCCCATGGATTCTTATGGTTAGACTTATCCGCATCATATTGCGCCCGCTCCCTTGCTGTTCGTTTCCAGAGGAACGTTTTACACAGCTCACTCTATGTTCATCATATTGTTTGTAGGTGCCCTCATGCCAAAACTATCAAAACAACGGGTGCAGAGGTTCACGGGGAGGGCGCGTTTGGAGCAGTCATTGCATTCATTGTATGTTTCACATTGCACATGATTTGGCATTTGGTTGTGTAGTGCCGGTGGTTTGCAGGGCTGTTTGATGGTCTCCAAGCACGGGTTTTCCATGCCGCGTTGAGAACAACGCGGAACAAGGGGAGTTGGGAGTCGAGTGAGGCGTGAGGAACGTGAGCGGCCTGGGTGTTTTTCCATGATGAGACCGAGGGGGCTGTCAGCATGTTGCTGTCACTTCCCAGTTTGGCTGGGGTTTAAATGGTAAGTAGATGCCTTGGGGGTTGCTTCGTTGGGGTACCTCAAACTCGCCAGGTGCTCAACCGGCTGGAGCAAAAGCAGGGCCTGGTCCAGCGTTACGTTGCAGGGCACCCTGGTACATGCTGGTAGAGGTTTTCCTTAAGTTACTGTAGGTTCACCATGTTGTCTATTCTACAGGTCATATCATATCCATATCATAAAATGTTCGATGTAACAGTACAGCTGGTGACCTGAAAACCTGAGGGTTTACCAATGTCGGCAAGTTTGAAAACAAGCGTCAGGGAGTTTGTTCCAGCGTTCGCGTGTTTGTACCCTGAAGTGCTTCTGAAGTTTTGCTGTTGTCATGTTCTCTCCTGCTAAATCTCAGCACTATTTGCATACGACTGTCATGTACAACCTGTGCTTCTCTCGCCCTTTCTTCACACTGCTTTCAAGCCCTGAACAGCGCATCCTATATAATTGATGATAGAAAGCGCACAAGACCTGCATCACCCCCCCAAAGCAGTCGTACAAACCAGAGATGCCACGAACAGTTATGCTGCTCTACCAAAGGGTGCAGAGCTTTGGTCCTTAGTCCTTGTTAGGTTCCTCACTTGGTGGTACTATATCACTGTTTTGTTTCAACAACAACAAATGACAGCTTTGATGCTGGTTGAGACGAAACCTGGCGTTGGTTGCACGAAAGACAGGTCGGTGGCTGTCAGACTCCTCTTGGATGCTCCATGATGTTCCCCCCAAAAAAGAGTGAACTGAAGCACCACCTTCTCACCCTTTCACCTCATTCTTGCTGCTCGCACGTCCGACCTCCATGTGACAAATGACTCTATAGAGCTACCGATCTCGGAGGCTCGGCTCCTTTTGGGCAAAAAAACACATTTGCTTCCCAGCGGCTCGCTGCACCGGCACCCCCCCCAACGGCGTTGGTTCCGCTCGCCCTTCCACCTCTCGGGCGGGGGTTGGTTAAGACCACTTCCCCTCTCGTGGTGAAGCCGAGGAACGGCCCTTGTTGTTGGACGGCTACAAGTTCGACCTGCGACTCTACGTCGTGGTGACCTCGCCGCTCGACAGCGAACGCGAGAGGACGCGCCGGGGGTGGGGTTGTGGATGAGAACGGCGAGAAGAGACCCAGGGGGGACGGTGTGGATGAAACCCGTGGTACCTCCGGGATGTACCTGGGAATTTTGGGGTGACGGTGATGGTGGAACTGCTTGGGTGAGAGACGGGCTGAGACCCCTTTTTTCATGCCTCTGCATCCTCGTTCCAGGTCTCCAGATTGGCGAGATGGGTCAGGGAGAGGAGCGAAGCACGTACGATGGTCCTGGATCAAAAAGTGCTTGAGTCCCCCAAATATCCCAAACCCGGCCCTATATAGTGACTATATGACTGTATACCATAAGAGAAGGATAACGAGACTGGAGTAGTATTTCAATCTTATTGAAACTGAGATAACTGGGTTCCCATTGTGTTTTTCACGAAAGCTAGCGAAGCTAGCTGGAGTTACTCTTGCGATAGCAAGGTTTCTTTCGACCGGGTGCAAATCCTAACCCCTGATTTTTCAGGTCGAAGACCCCCCCCCCTCCCCTCCTCCCCTCTCCCCTCTCCCCTCTCCCCACCCCACCTCCCCTCTCCTCCTCCTTGTCTTCCTCCCACCTTCCCTCCCTCCCTCCTCCCTCTTCGCATGTTCGACTCCGTCCTGTCGTCGCTCTTTGGCATGCGGTTAGCGTTGCGTATCTTGCGGCCGCACTCGCTCACTCTCACTGTCTCACTGTCTCACTGTCTCACTGTCTCACTGTCTCTCTCTCTCTCTCATCTCTCTCATCTCTCTCATCTCTCTCATCTCTCTCTCCTCTCTCTCTCTCCTCTCTGTCTCTCGTCTTTCCGTCTCTCTTCTCTCTCTTCTCTCGCAGGAGGATCCGGGCAAAGAGCCACATATAAAGGACTCTTCACCCCTGCCTCCAAAAAGAGCGCCGTGTTTTTTCCTACCTCGCTGCCCTCCACTTTCCCATTCTGGAGCGCTAGCTTTCGCCCCCCCCCTTGGCCTCAAGTCCACCGGTGAAACACAACGATACTTAAATGATACAAAGCAATGGTTCCGGGATGAAGGTTGGTCTCAAGATGTCTCGTAAGTTCCCATTCTCTGGGGCCTAGGGGTCAGACTGGAGCACCAAAGCCTTTCTCAGTGGGTTCCAGTTGCATCCAGACAGCCACTTCGTAAGGAATCAGGGTTTCGTTAGGTCTATGGTTTAAGTCTTTGGAACACTGGGTTTGTTGCCCAAACTGAAGCGAACACTTTGACGTGACACGTGTCTTTCTTCCAAAACGCATCGAAACCCACCCAGCATCTGACAAGACTCGCAGAATCTCAATTCGACGACTCTGCGAACTGCCGGAGGTTTGATCCTTTGAAGGCCTACATCTTTCAGGCGGAAGTCGGATGTCCGACGAAAGTCGGATGGATGTGTTTCGGAGGTTCTTCTCCGGAAGTAGGGGAGGATTGCAGGTCGGAAGGAACTGCTGCTGACTTTCTGAGAAGAACATCCCCTCAAATCTGATACTAGATGTATCTATAGATGTCAAGTAGGTGGGAGACCCCAAATGGACCCGTTTCCAAGTCAAGTCGAAACGTGGGAGACTCACTGGCTCACATCCCTTCAGCCAGGAAGACTTGACCACCCGAGACCGACCCGAGACCGCCGTACCGCCGTTCGAACCGAACCGAACCGAACCGAGTCCTCCGCGCCAGGAAGGTTTGGTTCGGCTTTGTACCGAGCGCTACGCCTTGAGCCAAAGCTCGCCGGGGGCTCCCAGTGATGTCACAGCGTCATTTAAGCCGTATGGCAAGTGACTATATTGTGACGACTATATTGTAAAATCAACAGAAGCTTTCGATGGCTACGGTGTGTGTTTGAGATAAGTGTCAATTTTAGTGTTAGAGTGTAACTATACTACACCGCTATACCTGGCCCCTGTTTCGATTTGAAGAACCAAACTGTTGTTCTGCGGATACCCTGCAAAGTCGCAAGTCGCATGGGATATAGAAGTACTATAGGACCTGGCCAACCAATGCTTGTTTGCCCTGGATCTCCCTGCACAATTGATCCAGAGCTTGGCGCCCGGTTTGGCACCGTTCAACTCAAGCAGTCGCAGCAACTGACATGATGTGCGAACTGATCCCAAGCTGACAACATGGTTTGTGCAAACTTTACTACCCCCAGCAGCAAGATCGTCACAGCTCCTACAAGATCTATGATTTTTGGTTCGCCGCGCGAAGAGATCGGGTTCTTTCTCGGACTTGGTCGTTCACCAGACCGAGGTTTGAGAGGTCAAAGCACCTCATCCTTCGTCCGATTCGTCGGCCATGCAGGTTGAAGAAGAGAACCATGCACCTCACAAACTACTCTGCCGCCTGGTCTCCGTCTGGGTTGATGTGGGTGGTGTGCCGGAAAAAGGCAGATAGTGCGGAGTTGGGAGGGTGCTGTCTCCAGTGGGGGTGGTTTTTGCCTTCCCTTGAGACATTGCTGGAACTGGCTAGCTTTGGTCGTATGTGTTATGTGTTGGACATGAGCCGGTGGTGGACGGCTGATGTTCCCTACAACAATGGCTGTGGGTCAAAAAGAGCTCAAAAAAGACATGATAGGTTGACACGCCTGGGTTGTTGACGTGCCGCACGAAGCAGTGAGGGTACTGAATCAATCGCATCACTCTTGCTATGGCTATGAGTACTATGACCGTGACCATGTGATTCGTATGATTTATATATATATATATATCACTCGCATCTTCTGACAAGCCGCCCAAGAATAGTCCAGGATACGAAGAGCACAAGAGACAAAAACAGGAAGTGGCTTGTTGGCAGGAGGGTTGCCTGCAGGCGCTTGCTCTGTGCTCTGTGCTTGTAGGAAAGAGCAACACAAGCAAGGTTGCGCTTGCTGTTCGAGGCTGAGCTGTCCTGATTTCGATAGCAAGCCTTCAACAGCTGAATCCCTTGAGGCTTTGCTCGAAACAACCTGGAGAGTGGCTGGTCGACCTCATCGAACGGTATGCACCGATCGGAGCAGCACTACGATCCTGCTTTGACATGACATGTCCTGCAGGCCACGGATGGTTACTTAATCCTGGAAAGGCGTATGAACACGTTTTTTTTGTGCGAAGGCCGTATTTGGACAGGATTTATCGTATGGACATTTTAATTAACGAATTAGCGTATTTAGCCGTATGGACAGAAAAACAATACCGTACAAAAGCGTACCATATATGAAACCCATGCAAACGTTATCAACATTTTATCGACAAAACCCGAACAATTATATTGATAAAACCCAATCAAACCCAATATTCGGAGGAATTCCAGAAAATTTGTCCATTTGACAAAAAGGCCGGATGCACGGATTTTTTTGTGCGAACGTGTTTGAACAAACAACATGCACATTTGGATTCCCTGGATGTTATTTATTCTCACGCAGCCATCAAGTCTGAGCGATGAGCCTACGCGGACCGCGGAGGCTGTGTGGTTTAGGTACGATTTAACAGTTCTTAACATCCATGTTGTATTTGTCGCGAGCGTGCTCCCAGTGTTTCGATTGTGTTTGGCAGATTTGATTAGTAGTCATGATGTCACTGATGTCATTGATCTTGGGTTTCCATCACTTGTTCGTGCGGAGGCGCAGTGTTTTGGATCGTTTCTCGTTACCAAGGCAACAGATGCTAAGTTCGGTGCCCATGTTTCCACTTGCCGTTGCATTACTAGGTTCATCTTTATACATACGCTGGATCGCACTGACAAGCAAGCAAGCAAGCAAGCAAACAAACAAGCAAACAAAGCAAACCAATCAAAGCAAGCAAGCAGGGGCACAAACAATCACATGATTATAGTCGAACTGTGTATTGGAAGGCGTTTATACTGCTCACATTGGCAAATTAAAATTTGATCGAATTTGGGAGTGTTTTGAATAGTGCACAATGAGGATCGATGGAAAAGGGACAAGAGGAAGAGGAAATGGAGGACAGGAGGAACATTAGTGACTCATGACTCATGACCTAGGTTCTTTTTACATGCGCGATTGTCCTGCTTAAGAAGTCACAACATCCGACAGCTCGTCCTCAATGTGTTTTCTGGCATTGTTTTGGTTGGATGTTTCTTACGACCGACCCTACAGAGAGAGACTCTACGGACCGTACGGTCAAGTTCTGCCATAGGACAGCAGCTCACATCGTTGAACATCGCATCGGAGCATACGGTCACCTGGGTCAACGTAGAAAGGTCTTGTACGACGTAGAAAGGAGTGTAATCCCACTTTTTACCTGGTCCCTGAATAGCGATGTGTTTTGCCATCTCGCCAGAAAACATGACGCAGAAAAATGCAGCAAGTTCGTGATAGAAAACATGACGCAGAAGTGACAAAAATCAACGCAGAATTAACAAAAATCGACACCAAATCTGCTTCTTGCGTTGATTTTAGCTTTGCATGAAAATTGTCTTTTGCGGTATATTTAAAATTGGTCTCTTATTAACAATAAGTCATGTCGAAAACCCTAAATACGGCTTATACTTGTTCTTAAATTACCGCCCTTTAAAACCGCTACTAAACTCTCAACATGGCCGATGTTGGTGGAGTTCGTTTAAGGTTCCAAGAGAAACCCTAATTGTCCTCTGTCCACCCTGTCACCATGACACACCGCCTTTACACCAGGTTTTCCTTCCGCACGGACTCGCCTTTCGCAAGCTTTAGTTGCTAGTCTGAAGAATCACTATTTTAATAAAGATTTTGTAAGGGGAAAAGGAAGACCCTTCGATCTGGAGGTATTTTTCAGTTGTTGATACGAGTTTAATAGATAGTTTTATGGAAACGTTTCCTGGGTGACTTTTTGGTTTCAAGGATCCTCCTACTGACCCCATTTTGGACAACCCCGATTTCAGGGACCCCTTAATGCACCCGAGTTTTTGTTAATAGGGGGGGCCGTGTTTTTTAATAGGTGCAGGGGATGATGACTGAAGCCGTCCGATCCTCTTGAAGCAGAGCCTCACCATTCTTGTGAAGAGTTCTCGAAGCAATTGTTCCACCGGAATGACCGACATAGAGTTTCCTGTGAACGAAGAGGAGGTTCCGGCGGTTTTGTGTTCTGAAGAGGGGGCGCCTCGGATGAAAGCACAGCGCCTCGGATCGTCTGTAAGCGCCCAGGTGAACAAGCGGTCATCGAAGTATGTCCCAAATCGGGATGGCAAGGCGTGGTGCGTGGTGGAACTGACCGGAAGGGCTCATGCATTTTGAACCAGGTGGGTTAGGAAGAATAGTCACAGCATATCAACCTGGGGGTTGTTTCTTGGGGACACAAGACTTTTGACCAAGGCTGTACTTGATGATCTTGAACGGAGGCATCTTCTTCCGCATGGATTTTCATGGCAGAAGCTAGGACTACGGCTTGCGATCAACAGTGATGATCTGATCGCTTGCACTCAACATGGTCCTTGCATCTTGAGAGTGATTTTCAATTTCACTTTCAGTTGAACTCATCCATCCAGAGCCTCAGGGAGAGACATTGAGCATTTTCAGCATCGTCGCTGGTGACTGAGAGCGGCTATGCCAATGGGCAGCGCCGATCAGATAATGGCAATTTGATTTGTTCACTTCCCAACGGATCAAGCTGGTCATGGGCAACGAGACACCACAAAATGTACATGCGTGGATGACTGGCGCCCTTCTTTTCATGGTTGCAACCAATACTATGATTTTTTCAAAGCCCAAGGTAAATGAACCTCTTCAAAGACAGTTTCGGCTTTTTAGAGTGGCTCAAGCCTGACTTCAAGGGGAAGAAGACGATCAGGAAGCCGTTGGAGCCTTGCCCAGTACACCTTCAGCAGTCTTGCCAGCATGGGACTCTCCTGGTTGACTTCAGGCTCTTCGCGGCGAAGGTCTTGAAGAACCTTCCTGACAAGCACAGCATCACCGAACTTCTGGTTGATCTCTCTGACTACCATCCAGCAAGTTGCGAGTGTCACTCCGCAGGCCTTCGTGCACTACCTTGAGTCTCTTGACCTTGTGTACAGTGCCGCACTTGATCCTCTGGTACAGAAGACAGACCGAGAGTCGTTCTGCTGCATGGACACCTTCTCAGATCAGTCGTACATGTCCGAAGGATCTTTCTCAGAGATATGTTGAGACAACAAGAGCTCTGTGGGACACGCACAGTGGTCCCACGGATCTCATCAGTCATCTTGGAAGGGACTCTGATCTCTTGGATCATGAAGTAGCTGCGCTCTCCATCCTTGGGCTCTACCGTGAGCCACTACTTGGCAACAAGGGCAGACTTGCCTACCAGAGAGGCCTTCGACACTTCAGAGGCCTCGGTGCTCTTGGCCACGGTGGGATCAAGATCCAAGGTGCACTTGCACAAGTCAGTGAACCTTGCTGACAGTCGTGACGGAGACGGCTTCTTCTTGCTTGATCTTGCTGGATCGCCTGGACAGTTCTTGGCCTTCGCCTTGCGTACACTGTCCAAGTTGCACTGCTGGGCAGCTTCGCTTCCATCTGCTTCTGATGATGTGGTCATCTACTCAACTGCGAGGAACTTCGGTGCCGATCCTATACATGCTTGGAACATGTTGGCTTGGCTGAACTTGAAGCGCGCATCAGACTTGATGGAGCACAGGCCTTCCTTGAGAGCGGTGGCGTCAGCAAGAAGCATGAGCTTGTCATCGTCTGTGATGGCATGGTCTTGATCCCACTCATGTGAAGGATGGTGATCTACAGAAGAGTCATGCTGGCTTGTGTGATCATGCTTGGAACATCTTCAGGATCTTTGCCAAGTCAAGATCTGCTAGAACTTCATGTCTTGTCAAGTGCTTCGGTGTGCATGACTCACATGCTGAGTGGATGGCTGTTCAGGTTGGGAAGCCTGGTGCAACCAAGGGTCCTTCCTTGTACTCTGTTGACTTCTCTGGAGCAGTCTGGACACGTAAACTCGGCACATGCTGGGGGAGGAGGGTGGACGGATGGAAGGTGCTGCAAGAAATGCAATTTGCAGTTTGCATCATTTGCATCATCTCATGGTAAGGTGTAGTTGGCACCTTGCCAGGTATACGGGTAGCTATAGTGCAGTTACCAGGTATAGTACTTCAAGTTCCTGGGTATACCTGGCAACTGCCTTGTACAGCTGCCCTGGGTCCGCGCGCGCGCGCCTAAATCGGCGCGCGCGCGGACCCAGGGTAGGGTAGGGTAATTGAAGTGGGATACCTGGCAACAGAATTGTAGCTACCCTGGGTCCGTATGAATGCTATGTTGCTATACCTCTTACACACCTATATAAGTTCAATGCAAGAATGAGACTTCAAAGCTGTGGATTGCTGTGCGTGTGTAAAGGTTATCGAGCGGTTGACGGAAAGGGAACTTGAAGTACTATACCTGGTAATTGAATTGTAGTTACCCTGGGTATCTATACCTGCGCCAGCTGAGTAAGAAGGGGGATTCGGGGGGGTGGCCTGAGAAAGCACATTCGAAAGTAAAAACGCGGGCTTTCGTTTTGCAGCTTCTCAGGTTTCACACGTGTACGGAGCGTACAGTTCGCGCAGATTGTCTTTGAAGGCTTCACTATGGATTGCGCAGGGCTTGGATGCTTTAGATACCTTCTTGGGCCTTTCTTCCAAGTTTGCTTGATGGTTTTGTACTATTTTGGTGCCCACCTTCTGCGTCCATGTTAGTCTTCCAGGGTGTAGTTTTCAGAATTCATCCCGATAAGTCTCTCTTAGGAAAAAGGATTGGTTGTCGCTTGTAGCAATCGCCTTCACATTTTTGGCTGACAATGGTGCTCCCCTCCAGACGACACGGGTTTTGGCGAAACGGTTTGCGAGCCAAGAGTTTGGCCATGTGCATGCCGTTTCGTGGACAGAAAAATAGGTGAAAATGCAAAATTGAATGACAGTTTATTGACATGACAGTTTATTGATCAGTCGAAGTGATGGAGGGCACAAACTAGGCACAAACTACAGAATGGGTTTTTCAACATGTAATCCTACCCTCGTCCTACCATCGTCATTCCAAGCAGAGGGAAAAAAAGGGTCCACACTGTGGAAGATGAGGGAGGTTAACAGCCCACGTGCTACGAGCTTTGACCTTAGATTATGGTTTCTAGGTGAATGCGTTGCCACTCTTCGGCGCTATCGCCACCTACCTTGGGAAATTTTGGCAAAGCATTCCGACTGCGGAGGGGGGAAGAAGCACTGTTGACACGATTCCGAACTGCGTGGTCGAGGGGGTCTGTTGCACAGACCAGGATGTTACATCGAGTTCTTAAACTGCAACATCTCCAGTTCTGAGGGCTAAGGAGAAGGGTTTGCTAGTCTCACTTCCCAACCCATTTCGTTGCGACTTCAGGCGCCCAAGGCACCAGCGCCAGCTCCGCCTGAGGAGGCCCGCCCTCAGTGACGATCGGTGGCGGCAACCCTCCCGGGGTGGACGATGGTTTGAGCATGACATTTGCGAGCCCTGCTTTTGGATTGAACCCTAGGGATCCAAGTGCCTGCGAACCCCTAGGTACTTGGACCCTCCGAACCGTACCTGAGAAGGTACTTGGATTTTGTAGGGGATTGAACTGCACGCAAGATGAAAATTCTGAAAGACTGTAGTTCACTTTCCCTTTTGCTGCTTTAACATGTTGGGGTTCTTTAGGCTGATCTTGGGTTTTGCGGCATCTTCACCCGATTTTGTTGTCACTCGTCTCCTCCCCAACTCACAGGAAGGAGAATCGTTGGAGAACGCGAGTGATGGATATGAAAGGATATGGGTGCGAAGAAGAAAAAGGAAGACTTCTCAAAGACCCCTGGAAGAAAGGACATAGACCAAACCCCCGTGGTTGGGGTCTCCCTATTGAAATACACACCTAAATGAAAGAGATCGGGAAGGGTGGTGTGGTGTTGGGAACTTTACCCAAAGATGGACCTGTCTTCGTTAATACAAAACCGTCCTGTCCCGAACTTGCCATTCTTTTGCCTGTGTTTTGCTGGATGATGTGTCCCCCAGGGTGTTCATCTGGCAAAAGACAACATAGGGTGTATATAAGATATACACAATTATACACAACATATTGAATATATGTAATCCATGCATATCCGTGCATGTTCACGGGTGTTGTTTTCAATATCTCCAGCAGAAGTCGTCGGACAACATGATCCTCACTAAGTCGGAAGTTGGTATTCCTCAGTCCGATTGCCTGACGGGTCCTTCATTCACCCAGGGCATCCAGTTACCATTATAGCCTATAGCTGGTAACCAGTGGTTCCAATAAAACCATAGACCGACCGAATCCCTGGTTAATATAGTGGTAACTGGGATCCACTGGGTCCAAAACATCTTAGGTGATGGTTTTTGACGGAGAGGTCGGAGGTCTTTCAGCACCGAAAAAATACCAACAACAAACGTTTGAAACCAGGAGACCACTTGAAAGGAGACTCCAGAGAGACTCCAGAGAGACTCCAGGAGACTCCAGAGAGCTCGCTTTCGACCACTCCCAGAGACGTGTCTCCCTCTCTCTAGCCACGAAGCACCACGAAGACCACTCCCAGGTTGGCCTCTTTGTGACCCTTGCTGTTGATGTTGTTCATCCAATCGTTGAACCAGGTTCGAAGCAAAACAAAAAGATGACACGTTCAAGAAAGTGGATCGCTCTTCACCTTAGATACGAAAGATTACGAAAGATTACACAAACCTTTACAATATCAATTTGCCAAACAACTGGTTGAACATATCCAGCCACATCAATCCACCTTGCTTGAGGCGATTGGGCATTCGGTAAAATCTGCATGTTGATGCAAACCTTTCCCAAAGGGGCCAACATGACCTTTGACTCCTCAACGGCTGCCACGTCGCCAGGAACTGCTCTACAATGAGGAGGACTCGGTGGAGTATGGCCAAGTTCATGCCAAAACTCCGCAGACAAAACTCAGATATGGCCGTTTAATATTATATAGATGGCCAGTGGCCAATTGAATTCAATTCATATATGGCTCAAACTCTTCTTGACAACACTGCTTCTCAGATACGGGCCACATGGGTTCACTCTCGAAGCTCGCTTCGCTCATCTTCGCTCCGTTGGAAGAGCGTCAAGAATGACTCACCGGTGCACATGGGCTTGGTGAACCTATCCAACAAGAATCGTTCTATGTTCCTTACGAAAGAACTAGCTTGTTCCCTATAGATCACAAAACTAGCTTGTCTTCCAACATGTAGTGGCTGTTGTTTCCTCGTTCGTCAAACAAGAGTTCCGATCCTCAAGACTCAGCGAGGTGCTTTCCGCTAGAAATTCCAAGTGCCGTGCTGAAAGCACCTCGCCCTTTTCACATCGGACCTCAGCAGTTGGGGACCTAGGCAGGTTTTCCTATAGGTCGAGGTATGAAGCGTTGAAACATATACACCTTCAAACAGGGACCCTCGTGGTTAAGACAGCCTGATCGTGGTTTAGTTCAGGCTCTCGGGGTTAAGATCCCTAAATTGCTCGTGGTGAAGGGCTAGTCTCCTTCAAATATCTTAAACAAATGATATACCATATGGGTACTCCATCAGTGACTTTTACCAGAGGAAAACAACGTAAGTCGGTAAAACAACGTAAGTAGGTCGGGTCCTTCAAATGCACCTGAATCAAGTTTCCGACTGATGAATCGTGCTTGAAGGGGTGGTGGTGACCCGGACTGCATACTCTAGTGTTTATCGAAGAGTAAACTAGTGTATCATGAGCTTTGGGAAGTTTGCAAGCTGTCTTTTTGTTGGCCTCCCGCTAATTTTCGGACCCCTTGCCAAACAGATCATAACAGATGTTTCTTCTCAAGAAAGCATCACTTGCCAAACATCCCGGACCACTTCTCACAGACGGAGGATGACGCTGAGGAGTGCCCCACCGAAGCGGGGCTGTGCCTCGGCATGCGCCATGCGCCATTCCCACCGTTGGGGCGTTGGGGTCTTTAAGGGTTGAGCAGGAAAAACAAGTGATCAAATTAAAGACATAATCAATCATATTATCATATTGTGTTTTAAAGAATACCAATACTCACGCTACCTGTTTTTTTTTGGGGGGTCATATTGTGCAGAAGAACCGTGGATCGACCTGTTGCTTTTTTCTGCATGTTCCTCGGACTTGGGTCACCACAGTCGAACCTGTGCCCGTCGAAACATGGTGGAACTCTTCGGCTCGGATGGGGGGTTCCAAAACCGCGGTACCGATGTGCAACTGGTCATGACCATCACATTTGATCCATCCGGGGCCTGGGGCTCAAGGGAGGTAGCCTGATTGGAGCTGATCCAACAGCAGGTGGTGATCCAACACAGCTGCAACACACAGTATGAGAACTACCAAGACCTTCAGTTCGTGACCTCTTTGGCGTCTCTCAGTGACCTTTTACGTCTACTAAGTGACCTCATCCTGGGATCTCAGAAGGTCACTTTAAAGATCGTTAAAGGTCCTGGTAGTTGAGAGTTCCATGTTGCACGGAACTGTTTGGTACACCTTAGGTATACATATATATATATATACTGTATAGGAACTGTCTACATGAGGGTTCGGCCTGATTAGCTGTGGTTGCTGATGGCTCCATCCAGCTAGAACTGTTTTCAGGCTGTGCCATGGCCATTGTCACGGACAAGAAGTCCATCGATGGAGAGCAAAAGATCATGGTTGATGACGATTGACTAATCCCAATAGCATCCAATGTGGTTCCCTTAAAAACAGCCCATAGCATGTCACAACTGGAACGAAACATGTCGTTGTTTTGTAAGAATCACAGATATGAAGGTTCATGGTAACCAAACAATAATCAAGCACTGAGTGTACCAGCGACGAGTCAACACTGAGTGTACCAGCGACAAAAGTAGGTTGTGATCTCAATATTGTTTATGGTTGCCGTTTGCTTCCAACGCGTGCCCTGGCTGGACAACCCTACACTGCTAAAAAAGGTTTCCATACAGGACACCCAGACAGGAAGTGCTAGGTATGTCAAAAGCAGTATTAAACACATATCCCAGACACTCCATGGGACCGCCATAGGACTGCCGATCAGTTGGGCTTGTTTTGGTGGTCAATGGGGTGGCAGTCCAGACTGGCAGTCCCACTTCAGTCGTGTCTGGGTATGATACACTCCGTGAAAATCATGGATCTCCGTGGATGGAAACCACCTCTTTGGATCTTTCATGGTCCGACCTCAGGGCCGCCATCGTTACCGCCGAACTCTCGGCCGCCGTGTTCGCCGCAGCTCTGTTCGCCGCAGCAGACACCTCGACCCAAAAGCCGTCGGCCGAGGACAGAGATGAATGAAAGCGAGGATGAGAGCGAGGATGAATTCAACGAGGCCAGGAGACAGCTGGAGAAATGTGCCATTTCCATGTTAATATGTCAAATCCCGAGTTCTGGAGCAATCAGCCCAGTCGACCGATGAGCTCAGCGTTCTTCAGGTGTGGGCGGTTCAAACAGATGTTTTCTTCACCCATGTGGGTGTGTAGCTCAAATAAGGAGACCTCCCAGTTCGACCCCTTCAAAGTTTCCCTATATTCAAATACACACCCATCATATTCATTCCAGTTTACTAATATTTTGTTAGATTTAGATCTCCCAGCCATTCTGTGTCACCAGCACCGCACAACCTCCGCACTTTTGGGGTGCGTCGATCGTGTGAATAACACGTTCCATGTGGATCTCTCACGTTCTAATTGTCGGTGATCCCCGCACTAATGGGGACTGGAGGTCTGACCATCGAGATAAATCGCGAACGTCCATTTTGTTGTTTTCCACTCAAGGTGGTTGGCTACGGGTCCAAACCGTTAAAGGATGAGAACGCTGAACAAGTTGCTCCACATCATTTTGACCCATGGATAGCGGTGCCCTCTAGTTGGATCCTATTTACACACTATGTTGAAACCACAATTTCCAAGATTTGATGTTGCTTCGTGTTGTTGGGGTTCATCCCATTCTCACTGGAAAACATCCTTACGAATGCAGACTCTTGATTCATAATCCAGCTCATTGGGATTGTAGAACCATGTAAGAACCCTTCTCATATGGGGTGTTCAACATCTATATACATGAACCACCACCCGGTCGTACAACGGTACCGACCACCGATCTCTCACCCTGCCCTCTCGCGTCTCTCAGGCCGCGTCCGGCTCGAAGGAGGAACCACCGAACGCAGGCAAGAATTCCGCGAAGGATTGCAGAGGAACAAGAACTCGGTATCAGGAGTCAGACATCCGGCATTCATGTATGAATACCACGGCTCTCAAGTCCTTAGATGTCCAACATCGGAAAAAGTTTGTACTTAAAACAATAGATCCAGGGTTTTTTTCTTACGTCCGGATCCTCTCAGTGCGTCCACCGATGGTCGAAGTGGATGACATGGCTCCGAATGAAAGACGACTTGCCAGAAACCAAGAGGTCGTGCACTCCACTTCCATGGAACATGAGTTGGAGTGTACCTCAAGTTCCATGCATTCCTGAACTTGGACCTATGTCGCTGCCGGTGGTTCTCACCAGAAGTACGACCCCAACAATCATCATAGCAATCATGAAGTAACCCCACCCAAGGGCGGCTGACACAACTCAACCAAAAAGGGACCAAAGAAGCACCGATCACCCCTGTACGCGGCCCAACAAGAGTCGTCGCATACAGGGAGTCCCACCCCATGCCACCCCATGCCACTTCGACGCATTGCGGGCGCCGACGAGTCTGTTTGGGCGCCCTGGAGGCCCCAATGGCAGAGCCACATCGAAGTGGACCCTCAAGGTCGTCGTCGGAGCGTCGGGCATCGCATGGCGTCACCGAGTGACGTGACCGTCGGGCATACTGGTATAATAGTATATATATATATTTAATGTCATGTGTATATGCCATGGGTAACTGGTTTGCAGAAAACAATAGAATCTTTGGGGAGCAGAATCTCAGAACAGTCTGAACTTGCGCAGTGTTCAGCGGTGCAATTCAGTATAGTTTGCTACATTGCTCCCCCATCATCGGCTGGGGTCGGCAGATCATGGGAATGGATCACCACCTGTTTGGTATGCGGATTTCATGATCATCATCCTTTTGGAACCATGCCATCCACGTAACCACCATTATTTCAGGGAGTGTATATATACAAATTTACAATCCTTGCGACATCGATATGCTTTACGAACACCCGTGTTGGTCGCATCGAATAAACCGGTTTGGTGGATGGATCCATCGGTCCGGTCGGGAGCGTTTTGTTCAGTCGCAACGGTGCGAGGACTTGCGGGAACATTTTGAAAGCCAGGCTGGACCAGGGTGATGCTAGCTAGCTCCTGCGGATTGGTTGATGGTAGGCGCCCCACTTGGCCGAGGGATAGACATATCCATCCTCCCTCAGTGGTAAACCTTTCACCTTTTCCATTCAGCTGAGTGCATAGAATCGGTTCCAGGGGCGTGGTCCCAAAACATCCAAGTGGTTGCGTTGTTTATGGTTGTTTAATGTTCAGCAAGCTGAAGTTTGGGATTGGAACTCGCAACATGAATATAATAAGAAAAAATAGATAGGACAAGGCATTTGGCTGCTTGACAAGGCTGTTTCTCCCCAAGCAGTTTGACTATTGACACCACTGTCGTCACTCAAGGAGGCGAAATCGGGGGCAGTTACGCCACCCATGGCCACAGATTGCCACAGAATGTTTGGCAACCACATTCTTGGTTCTACTTGGGTTAGGTCGAGCTTCCCCTTCTGGGGAATATATTTCTTTTTGTCCGGTTCCAAAAACAAATCCAACAAGTCCAAGCTCGAAGTTTACATTTAACAATCATGAGAGAGAGAGAGAGCCTTGTGTTATTTTGTGTTGCATTTAAATAGATGCGATGTCCAATACATTCATGTTTTTTTGAGTGGGTTGGATCAACATCTATCCAAGATGAGTTTGCCTTGAGAGTAGCTAGGGTGTCAGAAACCCGGGGGAACATGAAAAAACAGCAACCGTCCTTGCTCCCCAGTTTTTTTGTTTCGGCCATGGGTTAGAAAGGGGTAACAACCCCACCAGGGAACTTCATGCGTTCTTTTAGGTTCTCCGGAGCAACTTTTCAATCCACTGGGACTGCATCCGGCAGACACTTCACTAAACTCCGCAGGGACTCGACTATTGGGCTCTTTTGGCGAAGATCAAGGACGCACTGCGCGGCAGGTTGATGGGTCAACATATGTCAACATGTTCTTTTTGCTCCTACAGGATTCAGCCCATTGACCACCATAAACCCTCTAGTTGGGATGGTTCCACTTTCTTTAACAGAACTTTTTTGGAGTTCAGGTGATCTAAACAGGTGATGTTTGCTTTTCGTACATTTTTGGTTCACAGCATTTTGCAGCATCGGTGTGTAATACATAGACCTGCATTTCTGGTTCTTTGCTTTTCCTTTCGGCCCCGACCTTGGTAGGAAACCTCGGTTCAGGCGTTGGATAAGAGCATTGGGTGGGTGCTAAATTTGCGAGTCTTTTTCTCTGAGGTGCTCGCTATGGAGGCACAGGCTCAGGGATTCTTTTGTATTTCTTTAGTTGCTTGCGGCGAGCAGTTTGCCTTGGCAGGCTTTGCCCCAGTAGTAGTAGTAGTAGTAGTAGTAGTAGTAGCAGGAGTAGTACTAGTACTAGTACTAGTACTAGTACAGTACTAGTACTGGTAGTGGTAGTAGTAGTAGTAGTAGTCGTAGTCGTAGTCGTCGTCGTCGTCGTCGTCGTCGTGGTAGTGGTAGTGGTAGTGGTAGGGGTAGCAGTAGCAGTAGCAGCAGCAGCAGGAGGAGTAGTAGTAGTAGACAAAGTTATATTCCGTCCGTCCCATTGAAGTAGTCAGGGGGTGTGAATAATTTTGTGAAAATTTTGCATTATTTATTCCATCCCATTGGTATGCTTATTTGGGTTCGACATTATTTTCCAAGGATTCATTAACTTGGCATCAGATACAATTGACGCTTTCTGCGGGGGTTCAGATATTCGTGTTTTCAACCTGCAGCTTTGAGATGATTGAGCCATATTGAACCCACTGACTCATCGGATGTGTCGTTCGTCAGTTGAATTGAACCACCAACCGGTTTTGTGATATTTTGATATATTTTTGATTTGTAAAGATTTGTGCATGAGATGTAGATCTAGCAAGTTGGGTTGCAACCTTTAAACTTTAACAGCGCGACCGGACTTTATGCATGCAAGGTCTCTTTATCCCCGGCCGCACCAATGTAGAGGTAGCAATCTTGTAGCATCTTGCAGCCCTCAGTGGTTTTCTGCGTCATAGTAACATCACTGTCCGACAGACTCCCAGGTTTTATTAGGCTTTGTCGATTGAAAATTACCCCGCAGGGTCAGGATGCCCTGAAAAATCCAGGTGGCATTCCAAGGACGCACCTATCCGTTGCCGGTCTCACCCAATTCAGGAGCTCATCGTGAAAACCTTGATCGCGGTGGAAACACCCATTGTGAGCGCGTGGCACAACGGCGCCAACTACCAGCGCGCCAAACCGGGCCCACCCGTCTGGGATGCTCAGTCAGCGCGCAAGTTGGGGGTTGGGTGAAGGGACCGATTTGGGTTGGCTGGTTTCAAACCATCATCGGGTGGAGGCATGAGAGGCTGAAGAATGTGTTTGATGAGAATGATATGTTTTTGTCAAGCCACAATTGCATCTAAATGCTCCATCAGTGACGTGAAACATAGTGAAACTTATTTGGAAATGTCTTCAGCCGCATCACTTCTGCAGGTCCCTCTCCATGCAACGGACGACTCCATCGCCGTGGCATCCATGACTTCGCTTAGGCGCCCAACCAGACCTGCTTTGAGCTTTATGGCTTCGATGTCTTGGTGGACCAGAAGCTGAGGCCTTGGTTGCTCGGGGAGCCCAGAAAAGGAAGCTCCCACTCTGTGAAAACCAGCGGAGCACGGAAGCTTTGGAGGTGTTAAAAACAAAAGAAAACACACCCACACACCATTTACTTAAGATTTCACTCGGTCACACGAACTGGAGCAGACTCCTCACGAGAGAGGGGTCGTGACGAGTCGTGAGTGACTCGGTCGTGACGAGGGGTCGTGAGATCCAAGGATTCCACTGTTCGCCGTGCCACGCTCGGTTCAGGCTGGAAGTGAACACCTGCCCGTCCTTGTCTTCCTCTTCACCGCTGGACTTCGATGGCCGTGCGGGGATTGTTATTTTTTGCGGGGGAACGCCACCTGAAGAGCCTGCCATGTGGGAGAGATAGGGCTGTACCGTAGGAGGGGTGACAGTTCAAGTCTGCAAGACCTTAGAGAACCAGAAGACCCATCTTTATGGTTGGTAGATCCTCAGCTTGCACATGGCACGAATGAGCACTGCAAAGACTGTTTGTTCGTTGATTTTGACACTTTGAATCTCCATGTTGTTTTAGATTTTAGATCGCTGCCTATAGATGAAAACGGGTTTAGCAACAAACCAGATGGGGGCACTCCTGTGATCACTCCTGTTGATGTCTAACGTTGTTGAACTATACCTGGAGTCTCAGTATATACTCAGCTTAGAAAATAGTCACTTAGTATATACTCAGTATATACTACCTGGAGTGTGAGGGTTTGGGGTCATGTCAAGTACCCACCGTCGTCGTCGGTCCAGTCCAGCTTGGGGCGATCGACCCACCGAGCTCCGGGTGGTTGAGGGTGTTGGAACGTCGCCAGGACAAGCGATTGAAGACTCAGCTTGTTGCGGATATGCTCACCCTTGTGGGCTTGGAGCCTCAGGGTGTTCTGAGGCGGAGGCACATGTGGAAAACATCAGACTCAGTAGAGGCATGAGATACTCACATCCAGTGCCACATGGTCCAACCATGGTGGAACCATCAAGTTCATCTGCAAGAGATACATGGTCGTACGTCGTACGGATGAATCCAATCCAACCGACGGAACCCTTTTACAGCCGTGAGGAGGGATCTGTGGTTCGCCTCACAGCTAAGGTTTGCAGCCCTACCTGGAGGCAGGGGCCACACCGGCTCGGGCGGCTTCACGAGGAGGGCGCTGGCGGTCAGGCTCTGGCGGTCAGATCTCACATGCGACAGCTGAAGTATGATAGACGACTATACTGTATGTGGTGAAATTATGAATATATGAATATATATGTTTATATCCCCCTTAGAATTTCCTCTAGGAAATGGTTCAACCCAGGTTCCGCAGAAAAGGGGTCACTTTCTAGCGAGGCATGCCCCCATATATTGCTGGAGCCCAAGAATGCCTAGCATTTTCTAGAGAGTGTTTTTACCTGGCCAAAACCATTTACTAGACAAAAGTGAATGTCCCGTTTTTTCTAAGTAGAGAATGGTCCATCCAAGTTCACCTTGAAATTCTACGGGGGATATGTTTATAATTGTTAATTATATGTATTTATAGCATTTGAGCATGTCCATGATTTCATTGGATGAGTTGGTAACCATGATTTCATTGGATGAGTTGGTAAGGGGTATGAGCAAAGGAGGTTCTTGTGGTTGGTCCGGGGTTGGTATGATGCTTTTTGGTCGACGTGTTTTGTCTTTGGGCCGTTGATGAGGTAACCTCCCGTACCCTTAACTGCCTGAAGTACACACTTGTGTTTGTTCGAAGTGAACAGCTGAAAAGGTCGTGTAGAGACACAAGAACACAGGAGGTTCAGTAGGTTTACTCAACCTGATCACCAGTATGTCAACCTAGGATTAAGTAACCTCCCCCTATTCAATCAACCTGATAACCAGTTTCTTGGAGGTTTAGATTGTTTGACACCATGTTCTGCGAAATGTTTGTCCGATGATCAGGATTCTTCCGCAAGAAGCATGGGGGTTTGACAGGTGGATAGCTGCTTTTGTCGTGCCTCGAAAAAGCCGCTGAGGTGACTCCTCATCGTTTTGCAGAGAAGGCTCCCCAGCCGGTGTTTCTTTGTGTTTTTCTTGGCGTCTCGTGGAACATCTTGGCTTAAAGTGTCGAAACATGATACTTAAATAGGGAGACCACCAACTGTACAGTGAGTCTTGGTCTTTTTTTGCGTTCTTCGAGCGGGTGAACCTGGCAGGTCTCTACATTTGAACACACTTACACACACACATGTTTGCTTCACACGGGTCAAGGGCAGTACCCTCACAGAACGTGAAATGTCACCTTTGTTTTCCAAGCAACCTATTGTTCTTTTCGGGATTTGAGGCAAGGCACCTTATTGGAGGCCTCTCAATTCCAAAACATCACAGAATGAAGCACCTGTCAAACACCCTGGCAGATCGAAGGCACCTGCAACCAAAATCCAGGACATGTTTCGAAGCTGCCACTTTCTTCCAGTTCTCAGAAAGCAGAGCCGTTCATTATAGTTATGATGTACGCTAAAGCTAGTTCTGATGACACAGCAAAACATAAAAAATGCATAAACAATGCAAAAATAATGCAAAACCAATCCCGAAAAAAATGCACAGAAAACGCAAAAACAAGTCACCAAAGGATGCCTTGGAATGCAAAAAAAAAGCAAAAAAAATGCGAAAAAACCGCATTTGTCCACTAAAC